AAGGTGAATACTATTACACATACAATCCTGTAAATATAATAATAATAATTTACAATCTGAACAGAGGCCAATGGGACTATACCCACAAATACACATATTTGACAGAAGTTATCTCTATCTATGTATTTTTATGTGCTGCAAATATATCCACGAATGTAGTAGAGCATACAAAGGGCAAAGTTATGGAAACATCCAGTTATTAAAAAAAAAAAAAAAAAATCCAGGACATTTGAAAATATTCTTCAACATGAATAGTAATCTTACAATATCATATAAGAGTTAGGAGTAGCATAATTTTGAAAGCCATTTATTCTAAAAACTTCAAATAACTTTTAGGAAGCATATGCTTTATAATCTTAAGAAAATATCTAACAGTGTCTGTGGTAGTTAAGTTTGTGTGTTAACTTGGCAGTTCCTGGTTGAGTGGCTGGGCAGCTGGATGTAGCATTCCCCATGGTGAGACTGGTAGTCAACTCCATGGTGGAATCTACTGTGAGCAGCTGAGTAGCTGCCTTAGGGATATGGTCTGCTTCCTGTATATAAGCAGAAGCCTCTGGGATAGACTCTAGCTTATGTCATGCTTGAACCCTGAATGTAGCCAAGTCGTTGTTCTGCAGCATCCCGTGCTCTGCCGACCTTGGAACTTTCATTGGACTTGAATTAATGGCCTGCCATGTGGTTTGGTAATATTGGGACTGTGCCTCATTACTTGTTAACCTTGGGGTTGTCAGCCTCAGCAGCCAGCAGCTGAGTGAAGAAAAGCCTCCAGCTTCAGTGGGCCAGGAGCAGGAGGCAGAGCTGAAGGCCAAGGTTGAGAGGCTTTCACCCAGCCCCTAAAGCATGGCATTTTGAACTCAGACTTAAAGCCTCCAAACTATAAGAGAATGAACTCCTGTTTCTTCAAGCCAACAATTTCTGGTGACGTAGTGCCTAAGGCATTTGACTGCTAACCAGAAGGCTGGCAGTTCAAACACACCAGCCACCCTCAGAAGGAAGACTGGGCAATCTACTTCCTTAGAGATACAACCTCGGAAACACGTGAAAGGGTTACTATGAGTCTGAATCAACTCAATGGCGTTGAGTTAGGTATGGTTCACCTTGAAATATGAGGCACAGGGAAATGGCACTTTGTAATCATAGTCAAGCATTTAACATGTCTTAAAATTTTAAATTTGTATCCTCTGTACTCTTACTGATTTTCATTGGAATGCTCCCTGATCTTTCAAATTGTCTGCTGTGTGGAACATCTTTGGTAACGACAACATAGTTATCTCTAACAACTTTTTAAATTTCCTGTGAATGATTAGTTTTTTGAGTTTTGTTGTGTATAATATTAAATTATTAATTACTAAATGCTAGATGTAGCAGCTTATCAAAATTTTAAGACACTAGTACCAACATCCTTTTTTTTAAAGATGATTTGCCTATAAATTTTTAACTGGAAGTCACTAGAATAACTATTTACAAAATGATTACAAAACCACATGAATTTTTAGATTTTCAGTACTGAGGTTGAAAATTGTATACAAATTATTCATAATGTCTGAATATTGAACATCAGAAAACATCAGTAATATCTAGTTTATGAGGCGTATTTCCACAATGGAATACTACAAAACATTAAAGAATAACAATAAATCTGCAAAACATCACATAACATGGATGAACCCAGAAGACAGTATGCTGAGTGAAAGATCTACTTACAAAAAGTCAACCATTGAGAACCCTATGGAGCACAGTTCCATTTTGACACACATGGGGTTGCCATGAATCAGAATCTACTATGCTGCATCTAGTTTGTTTCTATTTTGTTTTGGAAATGCTAGACCATATATATATTCATTTATTTTTCATTAAGTCAATATGTACTGAATGATAAGTATGGGGCAGAATAAGAGGGACAGTTGACTCTCCATGTAGGTGGACTCAACCAACCACCATTGAAAATATTCAGAGAGAAAATAAATGAGCAATTAAATAGTCAGAGCAATCCCTCAAAGACTAAGAGGGAGCATAAAGTGACATTTACATGGCATTTACAATATATTAGGTATTATAAGTAATCTAGAGATAATTTAAAGTATACAGGAGGATGTGTGTAGGTTATGTGCAAAAACTATGCCATTTTATATAAGGGACTTGAGTATCCACCAATATTGATATTTGTGTGTGGAGGGGGGGTCCCTGGAATCAATTCCCCCATGGATACTGAGGGATAACTATATTTAAAGACATATAGATGCTTGGCACCATATTCCTAGTACCCTTCAACCAGATTCCCCAAATGTTGCTTCCAACCTGTCCCCTAGAGTGTGAATCCCTAATCTAGGCTCAGTCTATCTTCATTCTCAATCAAACAATCTTCAACTCTGCAAGTGCTTATGGTGTGGCAGTACTGTGCTAGGTGCTGTGATGGCCAGATGAACATTTCACACAATTATCTGTACCCTAAGCCACTCCTCGGAAGGAAGGTTGGGCAATCTACTTCCGTAGTGATACTGCCTTGGCAACCCAAGGAGGGGTCGCTATGAGTCGGGCCGACTAGATGGCACATAACAACAACAACAAGAACTCTCTCTGCAGTAGAAAATACTTCCTCATGAACACTCTCAGTTCATTTTACTAAGTGTTATGTGAGGGGAGTTATGGAATCTCAGAAGAGAAAATGACCAATTTTGCCTGAGGATGCTGAGAAAGACATCAGACAAAAGATGAGATTTTACCTGTATCTCAAAGAGTGAATGGGAGTTGCTACTAAGGCAAGGCCTTTCTATGTGGAAGAAAGTGCACTCACAATATCTAAAATCAAACTCACTGCAGTCAAGGCGGATCCAACTCATAGTGACCCATGCTTGGGTTTCCAAGGCAGTATCACTACAGAAGTAGATTGCCCAATCATCAGCGATGCTTAAAACAGCATCTCTTCTAGTCTCTCCCAGGACTGCAACAAAAAGGACACCCAGCTAATGAGTGGAACCCAAGCTCCTTAAGCCCAGCCTGGTGGCCTTTTCACTACTTGATCCTAGTACCATTCCCTTTGGGTCACAGTCTCAACTAGGGAAAGGCAAACCTAATTATGTGCTCATGCTTTATTTTTAAATTTTAGTTCTTCTTATTCCACAATATATCTTTGATAATAGAAAGTCTTTAATTAGAAGTTAAAGTTTAATTGTCCCCAACTCTTGAGTAAAATAGACTCTCCTAGAATCTACCATATTTTACTGTGGTTTCTGATAACTTCGGGAAGATGGACTCTTATTTTAGAAGAAGGGTCACCAGCAGTGTAACCTATCATGAAAAGCAAAGATTTGCCATCAAATATCCTCTGGGGTATTAAAGGCAAAATGAAACTTTGAATTGACCACTCAATGGCTTGTAAAGTCCAGCCCTCACCATTTACCACAGTAAGGAAGTTACTTTATCAATTTAAACAGAATTCTGATATCATACTCAGTGTAATAACATATGTTAATCCTTGGATAGCAAGAAGCATATTTACAATAGTGTCACACTAACTGTATTCCTCTAACCTAGATCTGAGCAAAAGCACCTGCTTTCATTGGATGTAAATTACTGTATCTCTCCTCTTATAAATTTTTCTGTTCTGGTAAATGTATCATTTAGAGTTACACTGACCAACAGAAATAAAATGTAAGATGTATAATCTTAAATTTTCTAGTAACCTCATTGAAAAAAGTATAGAAAACAGGTAAAATTAATTAATAATACATTTATCCAATATATCATTTTAACATGTAATAAGCATAAAAATTTGCCAATGAGACATCTTATTTTATTTTTTTTTTTTGTAGTCAACCTTCAAAAAGTGTGTTTTACAATTAAAGCACAACACATCTCAATTCGGAGATTATATTTTCAATGTTTAAAGTGTAATCCCACTAAAATAATAAAGTTGTGTTTAGTGAAATATTTTTCAGTGCTTCAGTTTTTAAATTAAAATGTAACTAAATTAAATAAAATTAAAAACTCAGTTTTTCCACTACACTAGCCATGTGTGCCTAGGAGCCATCGTATTGGGCAGAACAGATCTAAAAGTCAGAAGGATGGCAAACAGAAAAATATGGAAAGCATTAAAAGCTGCTGTCAGTAAGGCACCAGAGGGTTATGTTTAAGATGAGGTCAAAGGGCAAACATATAGAATATAGCACAGTAATTAAAAACATAAACTTTGTAGTTAGACTAATTAGACCTCTTTAAGCTTCAGTTTTCTTATCTGTAAAGTAATAACACCTTCATTCTTAGGCTTATAAGATTAAAAAAAGATAACTTAATTAATGGACTTAGCACAGTATAGAATACATTCTGAAGTTTCAATGAATTATAACTAATTCCCCTCACACACACACACACACACCCGTATCTATGGAAGTCATGGGATCTGTTTGCATTTAGATGTAGTGTGATAAGTAAATTATTTGTGATAAGGAGGGTGAAGTAGAGAGAAATTGCAGTATTTTCTTGTAAATTTTATTGCATTATAAAATACAAAATGGCACCAATCAAAAACATTTAGCTCAATGTATTTTCACAAATCAGACCTGTGTAACAAGTACCCAGATCAAGACGCAAAACATTTCCAGAATCTCAAAATCCTCTCTGTGCACCAACAAAAGTACTAACAATCATTATTTCTAACATTACAGATTAGTTCCATCTGTTTGTAAACTTCATATAAATGGATTCCTAGAGTCTGTAACTTTTTGAAGTGTCTGCTGTCTTTCACTCAATATCATATGTATGAGATTAACCCTTACAATAGTTTGTTTTTTTTTTCTCATTGCTGTGCTGAATTCCATTATATAAAAACACCACAACATATTCATCCATTTAACCATGAGTGAACATTTGAGTTGTTTCTAGATTAGGCCTATTACAAATATCCCTGCAATGTTCACTCGTGTATTTGTACTGGAATTCGAGTTTCAGTCTTGGATATGTTGAAAACAGAAGGCTCACCCATCATATCATTCCCTGTGCAGGTACCTTGGATAAGCACAGAGAGTTGGAGGACCTTGTGGCTAAGTTCCTGAACGTAGAAGCAGCTATGGTCTTTGGGATGGGATTTGCAACTAACTCCATGAATATCCCTGCACTAGTTGGAAAGGTGAGAATGTGTTAACAAAATTGTCTTCCTATGAAAATTCTAAGCAGGTTTTTTAGTGGAAGTATGGTTATTACTTCTTAGGATAAACTTTTTGGAGTCAGTTTTTTGGATAATTGTACCAATTAGTCCAGCAAATCTCTTCATCATGATATTCCTAAGTATATAATTGAAGCCCTGGATGTGGACAAAAATTAATCTTTGAAGATGATTTAGTAGTCATTCAACTATTCTTAGGCTCCTAAGACCCACTTACAATGTAGCCAACAAATATTTATTAAGAATTTACTTGGAATGAAAGATTTTACCAGTGTCATTCATTCATTTTTTTTTTCTGTCCAAAAACTTATTGATAATTTACTCTGTCATAATATGAGACAAGATAAGATGCAGAGCATACAAAATATTGTGTAGTTTATAGTCTAGTAGCAAAAACAACACATTAAATAAAATAGGATAAATACTACAAAAAGAAGGTATGCACATACATGGGGAAGGACAAAAGAGTTTCCCCAATCTCTTCTTGATGAAGTCTGAAAAACCTGTGCAAAAACAGATGACATTATAATAGAATGTTAACAGACATGTAAGTTATTTTCTTAGGATTAGGAAAAAGTGGCACTATGCACAAGCCACAGAGGTTTAACCACATAAGATACTGGTAGAAGAAGGAACCAGAAATGAAGGCATTACACTACAAATCAAGTTAAAGTATTTGAAATTCACTTAGAAAAGTGGAGAGTTTGTTGATTCATTTTAAGTGAGCAAATGTCATCATTAGACTTATATTTTTTAAAAAATATGACTTATAACTAAATGCATATGTGTTCTTTAATTGGATTCTGCATTGTAAAAAAAAAAAAAGAAGAAGAAGAAGGAAAGAAAGCAGCCAACAAAGATATTATTAGGACACCTGGGAAATTTTGAATTTGAATTGGGTATTCAATGATAGACTCCATCTGATTCCAGGCAACCTATGTACAGCAGGACAAAACTCTATCCTATCTGGTATTATCTATTGATCAATAGTACGTTGAGTTCTTTGTTGCATCTGTTATGCCAATCCATCTCACCAAGGGTCTTCCATGCTCTCAAATAGCCTTCTACTTCACAAAAAGAATGTCTTCCTCCAGAGTTTGATCCTTTCAGATGGCATGTCCAAAAACAGCAAGTCAGACAATATTATGTTGTGATCCATAAGGTTTTAATGGCTAATTTTTTAAGTAAGTCTCCAGGTGTTTCTTCCTAGTCTGTCTTAGTCTGGAAGCTACATTAAACCTGTGGAATATCAGTGAACCTTCTGGTTTTTAAAATGCCAGTGGCATAGATTTCAAGATCACAGCAACATGCAAAGCCACCACAGTGCAACAAACTGACAGATACATACAAAATACAAAATATTTTGATGATGAATTTTGATGATGTTGTTAGGTGCTGTTGAGTCAGTTCTGACTCATAGTGACCCTATGTACAATGAATGAAACAGTGCATGGCCCAGTGCTATCCTCACAATCATTGCTATGTTTGAACCCATTGTTGCAGACACTGTGTCAATCCATCTGGTTAAGGGCCTTCCTCTTCTTCTCTGATCCTCTACTCTGCCTGAGACTAATTCCTCCTGATAACATATCCAAAGTACAAGAAATGATGTCTCACCATCCTCACTTCCAAGGAACATTCCAGCTGTACTTCTTCCAAGTTTGTTCATTCTTCTCGTAGTCCATAGTATATCCAACATTTTTCATCAACTTTAACTCAAAGGTATCAATTCTTCTTTTGTCTTCCTTATTCACTGTACAGCTTTCACATGTATGTGAGGTGATTGGAAATACCATGGCTTGGGTCAGGAACACCTTAGTGCTCAAAGTGACATCTCTGAAAACACTGAAAAATCTTTCACAGCATATTTGCACCTTGTAGTACATTGTTTGATTTCTTGACTGCTGCTTCCATGGGTGTTGATTGTGGATCCAAATAAAAAGAAATCCTTGACAACATCACTATTTCTTCAGTTTAATCATTCTGTTGCTTATTGGTCAATTACATATTGAATAACTATGGTGAAAGAATACAACCTGATGCATACCTTTTCTGATTTAAAACTTCTCAGTATCCTCTTATACTGTTCAAACACCTGCCTCTTTCTCTATGTACAAGTTCCACATGAATGCATGTGAGGAGTTTTGTTTCCTTTATGCTGAGGTGTTAGCCATACTGAAGGATGTATTCTTTGATCTTCATCAGTAAATGCTTCAAATCTTTTTACCTTTCTGCAAGCAAGATTATGTTATCTGCATGTCACAGGTAGTTAATGAATCTTCCTTCAGTCTTGTTGCAGTGTTCTTCATATTGTCCAGCTTCTCAGATCATTTGCTGAGTTTACAAATTGGATAACTTTCCTGATTTTGAACCATTCAGTATCCCCTTGTTCTGTTTGAAAGATTCCCTCTTGGTCAATATACAGTTTCCACATGAGCACAATTAATTGTTCTAGAATTCTATTCTTTAAAGTGCAATATGTAATCTGTTATGATTGACACAGTCAAATGCCTTTGCATAGTCAATAAAACACAGGTAAATATCCTTCTGGTATTTTTGGCTTTCAACCAAGATCCATTTAACATCAGTAATGATATACTTCATTCCATATCTTCAGCTTAAACTTCCAACAGTCAATGTACTGTTGCAACCATTTTTGAATTGCCTTCAGCAAAACTTTAGTTGCATGTGCTATTAATGATATTGTTCAATAATTTCTGCGTTCTGTTGAATCACTTTTCTTTCAAATGGGCCAAGCATGAGTCTCTTCTAGTTGATTTGTTATCTTCCAGTTAGCTGTCTTCTAGTTTAGCTGTCTTCCAAATCTCTTGGCATAGATGAGTGTGTGCTTCTAGCATTGCATCTCCATTGGTATCTGGTCAAGTCCTGGAGCCTTGTTTTTTGCCTTTAGTGCAGCTTGGACTTCTTCCTTCAGCAGTATTGGTTCTTGATCAAATGAAAATATCAACTAATTCAGTGTGGTTCAGTGAGTATGTTCATTTCTTCCATATTCTTTTGATGCTTTCTGAATCATTCAACATTTTGCCAATGACATTCTTCAGTATTATAACTCGAAGCTTGACGTTTTTCTTTGGTGCTTTCAGCTCAAAAAATGCCAAGTGTGTCTTCTTTTTTTTTTTTTTTTTCTTTTAATAACTCCAGGTCTTTATACATTTCATTAGAATACTATTCTCTTTTTGAGCTGCCCTTTGAAATCTTCTGTTCAGCTCTTTTATTTCATAATTTCTTCCACTCAATTTAGCTATTCTTTATCCAAGAGCAAGTTTCAGAGTAACTTCTGACATCCACCTGACCTTTTTTTTTTTTTCCTTTCCTATCTTTTTAATGTCCTTTTGCTTTCTTCAGTGCTCTGGTGGCACAGTGGTTAAGGTATTCAGCTGTTAACCAAAATGTCAGTGGTTTAAACCTACCAGCCACTCCACTGGAGAAAGATGAGGCAGTCTCCTCCCATAAAGATTTAAAGCTTTGGAAAACCTATGAAGTACTTCTACTCTTTTCTATAGGGTCACCGTACATCAGGATTGACTCAATGGCAGTAGGTTTGATTGGTTTGTTTTCTTCATATATAATGTCCTTGATGTCATCCCACAACTCATCTTGTCCTCAGTCATTGGTGTTCAGTGGGTCAAATGTATTCTTGAGATGGTCTCTAAATTCAGATGGGATATACTCAAGGTCATATGTTGGCTCTCGTGGGCTTGTTTTAGTTTTCTTCAGCTTCAACTTGCATATTAACAATTGATGGTCTGTTCCACAATTGGCCCCTGGCCTTGTTCTGATTGACAATATTGACCTTGTCCATATGTAATCAGTCTGACTCCTGCATATTTCATTTTGCAAGATCCACATACATAGTGACCATTAAAAAAGGTATTTGCAATTAATAAGTCACTGGTCTTGCAAAATTCTGTCATGCAATCTTCATCATTGTCTCCATCACCAAGGCCATATTTTCCAAGTATTGATACTTAATTGTGTCCAGCTTTCATATCCCAATCACCAGTATTTATCAATGCATTGTAATTGCATGTTTGATCAATTTAAGAATGCAGAAGTTGGTAAAAATCTACAATTTCTTCATCTTTGGTTGGTGTGCAATTTTGACTAACAGTCGTGTGAGCTTGTCTTCCTTGTAGTCATTTGGATATTATCCTATCACTGACATCGTTGTACTTCAGGATAGATTGTGAAATGTTCTTTTTGAAGATAAACATGACCCTATTCCTCTTCATAATAGACCACATGATTGTCTGTTCAAAACGGATTATATAAATGCTAAACTTCTTGAGTGTGATAATTGCATTGTGATTTTGTAGAATAATGTCCTTGTTCTTAGGCATTCATAAAAATTTAGAGTGGAAATATCATGAAGGTTATGAGTAGATCTCAAATATTTCACAAAAAAATACATACACACACATATTTCTAGAGTTTGGAGATGTGGAAATTTTGTTGGCATTTGCCCTTAAAACTTAAAATACATAATGTATGAAATTACCAGCACCTAAGAGAGAATTTAAAAATTCTAGGTGGCCACAAAAAACAAATATCCACTATAATTTTATAAAAAATTTTATTTTTTTAATTTTAGAATTCTATAAAAAGGCAGAGGCATACTTGGTATGCTTAAATGATTTTACAATTTCCAATTTTTCAAATTAAAAAGAGATTTATTTTCAAAAACAGATACAGTAAATTAGTCTGAATTTTTCAAATTGAGTTCCCATCTATACTTTTCAAAATCCACAGTTTTTAACTCTAAACCAGTGATGGTTCTCTCTACATGGAATGTTAATGCAATGGGGTATAAGAAACTAAAAGCAGTAGTTTGAAAAGCCTTCTAGAAATGTCTTGATCCATTTCCTATGTTCTAGTAGTAGTACACCAAAACCATTCCAAAGAAGCCACCATTGGAATAAAGAGGATAAGTTTTCCTGTAAAACATTAATCCTTTTGATTCTTCCTAGTGCTTAACCAAGATCTTGGATGAGCATCTTTGCTGTAAACTACTTTGTTTAAGCAAAGATGTAATTCCTTTGAACAATGCCTGTCTCTATCAGCTAATTATTGTGCAGATTTTACCCATACAGACACCAGGTTAAACTCTTAGCATTTTAAAATTAAGTAGGATTTTGGAACCCTGTGCTGTAAGTCGTGTGCTATATTCCTGTTCCCACAGTTGTTTTTCTTTTATTTACTGATTAGCTTGTGCTTTGTGTGCTTGTTTTCTGCACAGGGATGCCTCATTTTAAGTGATGAGCTAAACCACGCATCTCTTGTTCTTGGGGCTCGACTCTCAGGTGCAACCATAAGGACCTTCAAACACAACAGTGAGTACCAATGTGTTTATTCAACATGTGCCAGCTTGCTTCTAGAAGAAAGTAAAGATTATTGATGTGGTTTTGCCTTTGCTCTTCAAACTGGGAACTTATTCTAAAACACATCATGTGTGAAATTGCCAATAAATTATGTCTGATTTATTGGATCCTCTTTTATAACACAATTATGTTTATATTCACTACTGTCTTGGGAGCTCTGGCAGCATAGTGGCTAAGGCACTTGACTGCTAACCAGAAGGCTGGCGGTTCAAACCCACCAGCACTCCCCAGAAGGAAGATGGGGCAATCTACTTCCGTAGTGATACTGCCTTGGAAACCCAAGAAGGGGTCGCTATGAGTCGGGTCTGACTCAACGGCACATAACAACAACAACAACAACTGTCTTGTTAACCTCTAGTGACCTGGAACAAATGGTTGAAGTGCACCAAACATCCAGATTGTGAAGTGTAACACAAACACATTAGTGTCATTATTATTGGTGGTCTTGTAATGCAGTCTCTGAAGACATGGCTCATCTCTTAAAACTGCCGTTTTATTCTCAGACGTGTTATACCTCTCCACTGTTTATACTTCTGCCTTGGAAAAGTTTGAAGATGTGCTTAAGTTTTATATTGTATTTAGGTAAAAAGTGACTTTGTAATGCCTCCTTTGACTCTCCCTGCCCATAGAATGCTCACACAACCCTACACACAAATTGTTTATTCATCTTTATTGCAATGTCTTTTCAGGCTCAGAGATATGTGATTAGGAGATGAGGAGGAGGAAAAAGCTATTTCTTCTTTTGTGGCTCAACAAGGCAGCATAGATTAGAAAGTACTTTGAAGGGGGTGGTAATGGGCATCTGAACTCTCTCGTCTGTTCTGGCCCTGGCTTGCTGTGTCACTTGTGTAAATATTTCTTGCACTCAGTTTCCTCATCTGTAAATGGGGATGATGAACTGTATGATATGGAAGGATCCTCCCAGTTCTAAGCTTCTGATTCTAATTCTTCGTCACAGTCATTGCAACTCTCCCTTCTACATACACATACAATTGTTTTCTCTTTATTCCTTCTCCCCATCTTTCTCTCCTACTTTCTTTTCTCACACCTCTTTTCCCAGTTCTTCTTCCTTGGCACTGTCCCTCCATCCTCCAAGAAGGTAAAAATTGGTAAAGACTGAAGTAAGAACAAGAGTGATGAAGAACTAAAAATAAATTGTTCCAGTTCTGTTCTACCTACTTCACAGTAATTTCAAACCATAGGATTAATGGGCCCATAGGTAGAGGAAAGAAAATGCATGGGAGTAGTCGAAAGTGGACCTTTCTTCCAAACTACTTCTGTTAATATTATAACCAAGAAAACCCTGAGGAGCAGTTCTCTGTAACACGTGGGGTTGCCATAAGTTAGAGTTGACCTGACATCAGGTAACAAAGTTATTGTAATGAAAAATCTATTCTCACTGAATAGGGTGAGGTCAGGCTGTGCCTTTACTGAAACACCTTCAGCAGCTGTGTGACAGTGAATGCTCTGGAATAGAGTTCAGAGCCAGAGCCTGGAAGAACAAAACTAAGAGACTTACAGTTCCACTATGCCGTCTGGCTCATTGTTAATTTTAAATGTTTAACTCCATTTAGTAATTTTGCATCATGCATTCAATCCTGGCATTAGTCTTGAATTCTGTCTGATTAATTGTGCCATTCCTCGGAAGGAAGGTTGGGCAATCTACTTCTGTAGTGATACTGCCTCGGAAACCCAAGGAGAGGTTGTTATGAGTCGGGACTAACTTGATGGCACATAACAACAGCAACAACAATTGATGATTGTCACATCTAGACTCAAATTATTTTGGCAGTGTTGGGAATTAATGTTTGAAGTAAACATCTTATAGGTGTTTAATAAGTAAGTTATTAAGAGACCATGGAAAATACACAACTGTTGTTGTTCTTTTGATTCTACAGCATTAAGGGGATATATGTTTGCTTTGAAAAAATAAAGGAGGTAGTTGAAAATTATTCTGCTCTAGTTCCATCTATAGGAGCTCTGGTAGTGTAGTGCCTAAGGCACTTGACTGCTAACCAGAAGGCTAGCGGTTCAAATCACCTAGCCACTCCTCGGAAGGAAGGTTGAGCAATCTAATTCTGTAGTGATACCTCCTCGGAAACCCAAGAAGGGGTTGCTATGAGTCGAGTCTGACTCGACAGCACATAACAACAACACAACAAGTCCCGTCTATGTGTGTGATTAAACATGATAATCCTACTTCCAAAGACAAATATGCATACTGTTTGTTATCTATATGGAGCAAATTATCTTGATCATCATCAATGCTAACCTCTCATTTCTTCACTCCATTCTACTAAGGCTAGTAGTCCATTCCTAGCTGCACAATAGGAAACATCTGCAAAGGATCAAACACTGGGTCTATCTCCAGTTTAACTGAATCCAAGTAAGTAGGAGTGGAATCCAGGCATCTGCATATTTTTCAGAGATCCCCATATTATTCTGATTTACAATGATGGATATAATCAGTAGAATCTTGTTTTCTAACTTCCCTTAGTCTGGACTATTCTTTAATCTTGTCAGTAGGCTTGGGAATGTATTTCCAGATACACACAACCTTATTAACCATCCTCACTCTTCCTTGCACCATAGCTAGCACTTTTTTATACTCCTTTTCCTAAGTTGGCAAAGGGAGTAAAAGCTACAGAGAAAGTATTCCAAGTCATAATTTATTGAGTATTTATCAAGCACCAATTCTGAGGCAGGCACTTTGTTAGGCCTTGGGGAGACTATAAAAATAATAAGGTACATTTGTTGTTGTGTTGTTGTTATTTGCCGTCGAGTCGGCCCCGACTCATAGCGACCCCTCCTTGGGTTTCCGAGGCAGTATCACTACGGAAGTAGGATTGCCCAACCTTCCTTCCGAGGAGTGGCTGGTGGGTTTGAACCGCCAGCCTTCTGGTGAGCAGTCAAGTGCCTTAGCCACTATGCTACCAGAGCTCCCAATAAGGTACATAATAGCTTTAAATCTAATAGGAGAGACAGACATGTATGAAAGTATCTGTATTATGTGTTGGAGTAAAAAAAGAAATAAAGTGTATAAAAGTATCTGTATTATATGTTGGAGTAAAAAAAGAACTAAATGATTTCAGTCAGTAGTTAAGAGCACAGCCTTTAACAGAGTAACTTTTCATACCTATTAGAATAAATAAAATAAAAAAGATGCCAGCATCCAATTTTGAAAAGATATGGAACAACTCTCATCTATTTCTAGTGGAAAACTCTTTATCAAAATCTTATAGAGTTAAACATCTACCTACCCTAAAAACCAAAAACCTAACTCACTGCCATCGAGTCGGATCTGATTCTTAATGATCCTGTCTTGGGTTTCTGAGGCAGTATCGCTACAGAAGTAGATTACCCAACCTTCCTTCCAAGGAAGGGCTAGTGGATTTGAATTGCCAGACTTCTGGTTAACAGTCACATGTGTTAGGCACTACACCACCAGAGCTATTAAACCAAACTCACTGCCATCAAGTTGACTCCACTCACAGTGACCCCTCCTTGGATTTCCACAGTGGCATCTCTACAGAAGTAGATTGCCCAATCTTCCTTCCAAGGAGTGGCTGGTAGGTTTGAACTGACAGCCTTCTGGTTAGCAGTCAAATGCCTTAGGAGCAGTCAAATAGGCATCTTATGACCCAATAATTCTATACCTAGATATTTGCCCAAGAGAAATGAAAGTTTATGTCCACAAAAAGATGTACACATGAATGCTAATAGCAGCTTTATTCATAATACCCATAAACTGGAAACAACCCAAGTGACCATCAACAAGAGTATGAAAAAAAAAAAAAAAAAAAGTGCAATGTAATACTACTCTGCAATAATAAAGGAATAAATGACTGATACAAACATCATGGATGAATCTCAAGAAGTAGATTGAGTGAAATAAGCCAGATACAAAGAGTATATACTATATGAATCCATTTATAGAAAATTAAAAAAAAAAAAAAAAAAACTAATCTGCAGTGATAGAAGTCATAACAAGCTTGCTTGTGGTTGTAGGGGAAGAAATTGGTTGAATTTCCTAGAAGATATAAATGTTTGATATTTTAATCAGGGTGATGTTCACAGTTTTTTTTAATAGTCATTGAGATTACACTTAAGATCTGTGAGTTCCTCTGCAAATAAATTTTACCTAACGATGTTATAGTTACCATACAAAAACCAAATCTGTTCCCCTCGAGTCAATTCTGACTGATAACCATGAGCCATATATACATGTATGTATGTGTGTGTGTGTGTGTCTATATATATATATAGAGAGAGAGAAAGAGAGAGAGAGAGAGAGAAAGCTCTGGTGATATAGTGGTTAAGACATTTGGCTGCTAACCAAAAGGACAGTGGTTTGAATCACTCAGCAGAAAGGAAAATGAAGCACTTTGCTTCTGTAAAGATTTACAGCCTTGGAAAACAAATGGGTCTGAGTCTGAATCAACTTGATGGCAGTGAGGTTTTTTTTTTTGGTTTTATTATATACAAATATAGATATGTATATATGTATATGTGTGGGTGGGTATATATATATATATATATATATATATAACTAAGGCAGAGGCTCTATCTTATTTATCTTTTTTATTAACTCAGTTCTGTTATGAGAAGGCCGTGCAAGCTCAGGCCTTTCTGGGGGTGGCTTGATCCAAGGCTGGGCCCCTGAGCAGGTAGGTGGGCAGGAGGACAGGTGGGGAACTTAGTAGAGTGGTTTGGAGCAACTAAGGTAGATGAACTTGTCTGTCAGTTTGTTCTCCTGTGGTACATCGAATGTTGCTGTGAGGCTGGAGGCTATGCCACCAGTGTTGCAAAATGCCAGCAGGGTAACCCATGGTGGAAAGGTTTCAGTGGAGCTTTGACTAAGACAGACTCAGAAGAAGGGAGAGGCAATGCACTTCTCAAAGAATTGGCCAATGAAAACCTTGTGAATAGCAGTGAAACATGGTCTGATTTAT